GGGTCAAAAAATATGAAATGCCAGAACATGTCGGTTTAATAAATAAATCAAATGAAGAAGAAGAAGAAGAACCTAAAGATCAGGATAACACTGTCTCCTTACAACCCTTCGATTTAAACAAAATAAAATGAAATAAAAACCAGAGAGAAGGCAAGAAAGATGAAACTCTAGATGATGTATCCCACAACCATGGTCACGATTTCCGATTGGTGTCTTCCAACGGCTCCCAACATCTGTTGATGACCACTATATCTACCTATGCGTGACCCCAAAACCCTTAATTATTGCTCTTTGCAGTTTTTCGTGAATTTATTCCAACAGCTGCCACACTTGAGATCCTGATCGTCTTCCTCCCAGTCTTCTTGCCAGGTGGGGGAAGGAAGGCAGGTGGTACGTGCAACTAGTTTTGAGATTAATTTTTTTGTGGTTGTTGGTCTTGTAATAATCTTGGCGGAGATGAGTTTTGAATCTTCTAGTGATTGACTTGATGATGTAGCTTATTATGATTCCAGAGCTTTGCTTATCCAAACTTTCACTAAAATATATTAACCTTATGCTATTTGATCACACATATATAGCATCAACGTGTCTCTATAGGGTCCATGTCCTACTCTTTTGAGAAATGTGTCACCAAGACCGTGTTGTGCCATATTTGTGTCTCGTAACTGGATTCATGCATCTAAGGATGTTAGTACCACATAACCCCCAACAAATCAAGCTTCTTGGGGAGTCAATCAATAAGAAGTTACACAAATGTGATTATTATCCTTACCACAAGACCTTGGTAGCACCTTGAACAAGAGCTGAAGAGTAACGGAGGAGGATATCAGAATTATCAAGTTGAACTTCAAACAACTGCAACATCAACCAGAGCAGATAACTATATACTATTCACATTACAAGAATGCCATAAGTAGTTCAGCTGCAAGCCTAATTGATGTTCAGAAAACTTCATTAAAGCAACCAAAAAAAACCTTGATTAATATTTAAAATTCCACAATAATGTCTCCTCTAATCCTAAGCTTGTCGAGTTTCAAAATTATTATACAAAAGTTCAAGACATCCAACAAAAAAGGGGAAAACATGCTGATATCACTTAAAATAATTTGCACATATGGCTAATTACTACTAAGCCAGTCAAACTTAATAAGAATCCATGTCAAGCACAAAAACAGTTGACATCCAAACAGAGACAAATTCTTTTGCACATGCATACAAGAAGACAACAAGCAGAAGTGCCGCAGAACCAAATTTGACATAATCTAACAAAGCAAGGCAGCATCTCTTTTTTAATCCTGGACCTTGTTGGCATAGCTGAAATATTTGTATCTCGTAAAAATTCCAAGCCTGGAACCCCCAATTAAAAAGGAAAGACAATTTGTCATGTAAATCCCATGATACCCTTGCACACCAACCTTTTGGGTAGCCATATCAACCTGTTTTTATATGTAATGGCAATAATGGCCCAAATTGCATAATTGAGAACCTGGAAAAAACACTTTCAGGTTCTTTTAAGGCTTCTTACAGATGAACTCTTAAATATATTCAAATGTGTGTATGCTTCTGATCATAGTAATCAATTTTACTGGTATAAACCATGCATAATTAAGAACTTTTTTTGCTCTGCCTTCCTACTAGTTATTTCTTTTATCTTCCCTCCTTTTCTCTGTCTAAGAATACCTAGTAGAATTACCCAGTTGGCCAACATTTGCTGCTTGAGAAGAACCTCCATATAGATCACAAGTACATGTAAAGTAAAGGTCTGGATGGTTTGTAATACACATGCAATCGGTAAGAAAGTTGACTTCAATTTGACCCTCAAACTTGCCTTCATTTGATCATCGAATAAAACATATAAAAAGTGCTTACACAGTTTAGTGCTCATTAATGGGGAGCTGGGAGGATGGGCAGGGTACAGACCTAAGATTTGAAGTAATATCTGTTTTTTATTCAATATTTAGTTAGAAATAGAATAAAACATAAAATGCCTATAAAAAGTGGACATATACAACAGGCTTCCATCTTCAAAAAGAAGTTAACTATTGCATGCAACATTACACAACTAAAAGAAAATTTTCATTCACAAATATATTAACGGAAACTTCCACACTATATAAGCTCACATACCCATTTGTGGAACAGAAGGGAAAAAATATTAGATGCAAACGACTGGCTCCAGAGTTGAACAATCAAATCTAGGATATGTTTCCCTTTTTCAGGCGCCCCAACAAAATAATCTGCTAGCACGTCGTAAAAGCATAATGGACCCCCAGTCTCTACCTCCGCCAAAGAGATTACATCTTCTCTGCCTAGGATTATATCTGTTTTAATTGCAATGCAGAAAACGAGAATATTACAGCGAAGACTATTTGATAGAACTGTAGAACCCTTTACCAGAGAGCAAAAAAGAAATCTGAATTGCTTGTACATGACAGTGTTTGACAGATTATTATAAATCAAGAAGCAATACACGTTTACAGTAACTCAAACTAAATTACTCAAAAGCAAAAAAATCACACTGTGCAGCAAAGACTTACATTTGCAAAAACTTTTTTTCAACATTTCATTATATAAAAGATCTAAAACAGAGTAGACAGTAGGATGTTAGTTTAGATCAATTTAATGGTCATATTTATTAAGAACAACCCAACAGTAAGGCCTCTCCTGACACTGCAATACAAATCAAAATCTTTTTATGGTCCTAACTATGACAGCTCTTACTACCAAAACTGGGGATGCAGAAATTCCCCAGACTTCAGGCTTACACAAATAAACAATTAAGAGATATAAATCATTTGATCTGGATTAAAATCATTTATGTAATCACACAATAAACAATTAAGAGATATAAATCATTTGATCTGGATAAAAGTCATTTATAGTAATCTAAGCTTGTCCAGTGTGAACCAGATGTTAATAACATCTCGATTAATTATGAATAGTCATAAACTCTACAAAATAATGCATACCATGATACTTGTAAGGATTAAAAATTGAGAGTCCACAAAGTATGCAAAAGACATTTTAAAAAAAATTATAGCATGAACAATAGAGTCAAAGGACTCCGATACTTAAGAGCTTCTATTTCAGATATAGAAACTATTAAAAAAGATGGGAAAAGTTATGGATTTTTGAGAAAGTTTAAATTGAAACAATCAACAATTTATCTAGAAGCATAACTTCGTCTGTGTTGAGTTGTAGTGCCTATCTTTAACACAGTCAGTCCTATTCCTAGATAAAGGAGGAGGATTAGGTTAGGTACTTAACAGGCTGACACCTAGCCTAAAACTTTGTCAAATCCAATTTGAACATAAATCCAAAAAACATACGGAGAAACATGATTCATATAGCTAACTCCAAATAGTTGGGATTAAAGCTTTGTTAAGTTGAGTTGAGTTGTAATCTAGAAGCATTTTATAAGAAAATCCTAAACAAAGCATTATCTAGGGTGGGAATGAGACACAAAAGGGACATAGTGTGACCTTTAGTAAATCTCACTAAGGACCCTAACTTTGTGCTTTGATTCATAACATCGTATATGAAAATACGCCAATAAATAGGCATTTTACTTTGTTGACTTAAGTTTTTCTTCAAAATTTGATTAGATGAAATTTGTCCAAAAGAAAGGAACCCTAGCATGTTACAAGGGAAACAACATCAACCATAAAGGACATTTTGCATTAAATGAAATTGACCCCAAAGCAAATATTAAAAATGCCTAACTACTTGTCTCCAACATTCATCTTTTTATGGCAAATGCCTTTCAAGAGGAAATGGAACTAGTATAGCTTTTGTAGGGAATTTCAGACAAGAAAGAATCATCTAAATGCAGGAAGTTATGGTGGCTTCATATTGCAATTTGAAACCATTACTATCACATCATGATTCTCTTCACATAGACTTGCTGTCAAAGCTGTTTATACAAGCATGCCCAAGAACAACTTCCTACAATATCAGCATCATGTCTTTAGGTTCAATAGATTATAGATGCCACCAAAATCCGCTACATATTTATTGCCAACATTATCCGCATCTTGATGTTCACAAGTGACCATCTATATGTGTACATGCACCCATAAATAGGAACCATACATAGCAGGTTGTGAGAAGAAAATTGTGTCAGGTAAAAAGCACATTCTTGGAGAAGAAATTCAGCAATAAAGATAAAGAGACTACGATAAGGTTTTCTCTTTTGGAAAGAAATTAAGAAGAAGGTTTTTGACAAGCCGCTTCTCAATGTTATTGAAAATTACCATTGTTTGTGAGATGGCCACAATATCTTCCTATTCAAATGCTTTGTGGAAAATAAAGGAGCTATTCATATCCCATACGACATCACTAATCATTATACTTCTACTACCTCATACAGGCAATACATGAAATATAGAAGATCGAATTCTGGAAATTACACGAAGCTAATAAGCACAAGCAAACACAGCTGCATCGACTTACCCCTTGCTCGGTCATCAACTTCCAAAGCTATGTCCGCAAATAGCTCTTCCAACAAGTTGCGTCTCTGTGATGGCGAAACTAGTGCCTAAAAACAAATATAAAACAAAATCACATGAAAACAACTATAAAACTAAAAAATTCTACCTAGTTTCATTTGTCTCGGTAAGTAAATTTCTACCTAGTTTCCTATGTTTGTGTGTGAGGTATCAAAAGAATAGGAAAATGAAGAATACAAACCCGCTGAAGCTTTTTCTCGATTTCTTGTGTGAGAGCCGTGAGATAATCAGAGGTTCTAGGCGGTAAAGCTTGCTGCATTCTGATCCTACTCTTCGATGACAGAGCATTTGAAAACAGAGATCACAACACAAAACCCTATCCTCGAGCTCTGTAATCTAAATTGTCTTTATGAAATTTGGAAAGAAGGAAGACAAGGTTTTCAATCACTTGTCTTCAATCAGGTTTTCTTTTTTCTTATTTTTTTTGGGGCCTTTTGCTTCCAGTATGAAAATTTACAGGTTAACATTTTTAAAGAATAAATTCAACTTGTCTCGACTTTACAAGAATAATAAATAAATAGAATTATTATTATTATTATTATACACTAATTACCTAAAATTAGCATGATTAATCGATTTAATTAGTACTTATAATAACATAATTACAATAACAACAAAACAATCACAATAACATAATTACAATAACAACAATATCCATATGGGTAGAGCATAAAATGCGGTGGTTGAGAATAAATGTGTTATGAAAGATGACAAGGTTGAAACATACAATAGTGGTGGACTACATAGCAACACGATCATAGTTGCTCTAAGGGGTGATTGCTAGGAAAGGAGGTGCTGTAAAAGATGACAGTGATGGAACATAGAGCGGTGGTGCACTACACAGCAACACAAGAATAGTGATACTAAATTCGATCGCAATAACATCTATCGTCACTGTCAAAATACTATAGGACTAAATAATAATATGAACTAGATAATCGCATGGTCACAGTAATTATCACATAATCACAGTAACATTACAATTACTAATATAGCGGTTTATAAGTTTAAACAANGAACTAGATAATCGCATGGTCACAGTAATTATCACATAATCACAGTAACATTACAATTACTAATATAGCGGTTTATAAGTTTAAACAAAAAAAAAATACATAATTTTTTCATCGAACAAATCCAAGATCAATATATATCAAAACAACCAAGTTGAAATAGACATCTAAAAAATCTTCACCCAAAAAATAATAAAATCCTTAATTTATACATTTCATCCAACGTCATTTGAACATAACATATAAGCTGAAAAATATCACCAAAACAAAAAATAAATTAAAACAGAGAATTTAAAAAAAATAAAAAATAACAGTGACCGAATTCTTGAAGCCCTCTTCTTCCTCGTCTGGATGTCCAGACCACATGTCGCAGAGAGTGAATAGGTTATCTTAAAAAAAATTACTCTTTATGTTCCTTATGCATCGAAATTCTACCCGAAACTACACCTAATCCACCATAGCTTGGCATGGAAGCATGACAAGGGTGGAGAGACTGACCCATTCTTCAATCTCTCTGTTGCCCATAAAAACCATTATCATCGCTTTTTTCATTATCGACTTCTCGTTGTAGAACCCTCAATCCTCTCCAATATCTTTCATGGGCCTTGCTTGCAGTCTGTTTGCTAGAAACAGAAAATGAAAACCATCGGGTGAGGTGCAAAGGTTGCGGCAGCGATACTTCTGTCAGTTTCAATTATTCTCCAAAACAAGGGAACTATTCCAACATTAAGTACACTTGAAATGCAGATGACAAGAAGAATACAAAAACAAAAAATCGATATATGAGTACGTTCTTATGCATCCACACACACAACTTTTGGCGAAGGAACCCGAGACCTTATTTGATTCAAAATGGTAGTTATATCATTAAAAAAAATTTACAATTAGTTTAGACTAAATGGTAGAATGTTGGATTATGCTTGACCGAGGCGAAGGACAGGGATTAGAGTATCTCCAACCCAAACCTTGACTTAAACGTGGACTCAAATTTAAATTTGAGTCAAAATGACCTAAAAAACTTTTCAAACCATGGACTCAATTCTATATCAAATCAAGATAAAATTTATTCTTGACTCAAATTAAAATAGACTCAAATTCTATATCAAATTTCTAATAATAACTTTTTAATCTATTCTAGACTAAAAGACTTCTCTGGCTACTTGTTCTCTGTCTCTTCTTGCTCTTTTTTACGACACTACTTTCATCGCCGAAACTTTCACAAATCATTTGAAGGCTTGTAGGTAAGTTTTTTGCTCATCTTCTATCTTCTTAAATTCTTGTATTTTTCAAAATCCTAATTTCACTCATCTTTTCATACTGTATAAACATTAAACTTACCCATCAAATTTTTCTTTGATTTTTTTGAATTAAACACTATCGGTAGTATAATTTTAAACTATCGATTCTTTCTGAAATTTTAAGTCTTCGGTATCCACATATTTAAAAAATTTGTCATGTTATTTCTTCGATCTTCATTTTTTGTTAAAAAAAAGTATGTTTTTTTGTTTTTCAGACCATGCCCATGTTAACTATTTTTTTTTTTTTTTTATAAAAAAATAAAAAGGGATTAGAATAATCTTAAAATCATGGGATGATTTCTTTATATTCATAGTGTTATATACATATTCATTTTTTTTTAATTATCCATTTGTGAAGAGGTAAAAATTTCATTTATTTTATCAAATATTATGATTTGAATGACAAAAAAATAAATTTTGAAATAATAAGAAATTTTTTTTAAAAATTTGAATAGATATTTGAGTTTACCCATTGGATTACTTTATACCAAATCAAACTTTTTACTCAAATTTAAAATCAAATTTGAGTCATGGTTAGAGATGCTCTTAGAGAAAATTTTTTTACACGAGTACAGGGTGGAGACTACTCTCCCGCCCTAGCCAGTCCCGGTCCCATAGCGTCACAGACCTTAATAAAGGCCAAAAGGGTCTTGCAGTAACATTGAAACTAAAACTAAAGAGGAGAGATGCCAAAGAAAAATACATAGGTCTCACCAGAGGTTAATGGATTGTACATCAGCATAACTGTTTTTTAAGGGCTAAAAATACAGAGACACTGTGGAAAGAGTATTGCTACACAAGTCTGATTTTCTGACTCCGACTCCAAATCGGGTTGCCTCAAATAAAACCTAAATAATTACAACCTAAATGCATATAATTTCTTGAATGAATGAATCCCATTAACTTTTTTAGTGAGAATCACTCATCCAAGCGATGATATACTTTTGAGGTACATTTTTTTAGATTTTATTTGGGTTTGTAACATTTTCCCCGGAGAGTAACCAGGTGGAGTAAAAGATCAGTTCACCAGCCCATCAAAGTTCTTTGAACCTTGTCTACAATCTGATTTCTTACTGCCATATTTGACAACTGATATTTGCTGTTCTCATCTAACAGAAATCTGTAGACCTCCCATTCACGAGCTGCTGCCAAATGTCTTCCAATTTCAGCCTATAAACCAAAACATTGATGATTAAAGGTTAATATCCAGGTTTTATGCCTTCGCAAGCTTTTCAACTTTTCTAATAAATTCGCAATTTGTATGACATGATGCATGAAACCAAATCTCCTTCAGTGGTCTCATGATATGGACATAAAGTCACAATGTGTTAATTGATCTTTCGAATCACTTCTTCATGATGTAATGTATTCTTACCGAGAAGATGCATATTCCAAGACACTTTAATGCAAGTGTGACATCAAAGAAAACCCTTGGCCTTCCCTTTCCAGATAGCTCCACAGGGTTAGCAACCAGAAGTTCAGTATCTGGCCCACGGTTTGTGATAATAACACGTAATGGGTGAAGCATTTCTACCTTCAAGCGAGAACAAAATGCATCTTGTTTCTCAGGATCCACAATCTTTTTACCATCCTTTTGCTGGACGAATAGGTCTAATTCACGATAACCCTTGTTAACTGGTGAGAATCTTCCATAAGCTATCTAATAAAAAGAACAAAAAACATTTATCAGCAAACATAATGGTTGATGCATCTGCTACAACTGGAAGTTGTACACTAAAAAAATTTGGAGGAAATTGATCCACCGTCAAATTTTAGTGAACAGGAAAATAACTAATTTAGAATATCCAACTGTCTCCAAAGTTTGGCAGAAACATCTGATCAAGGATGTAGTAAAACAGTAACAAACGGAAAAAAGAAAACTCTGATCATGTACAATAAAAGTGGTCAGACAAAAAATAAAAGGTCAACCCACCGAGCCACTAATACATGGAGTATTATTTGCAGTATGCTTATGACACCAAAAATAACCAAATCCCAGTAGCTACCCTAAATAGGCTGAGGTTGATCAGCTGGCTATAAAACTGGGGAAGAAGTGAGTACACTCCAGAAATGATCTAGAAAATCGACGCCAGCAGGAAAATGATCAACTCTGTGTCCGGCTCAAATTTCAACGAGTAGATACTGCTTCATTCAAAAGTGAATTGTGGATTGTAATTTGGTTTTCTACTAGAAGCATTGCCAAAACAGACTAGCAACTTCTCAAATGCCTCTTAACTGTGGTCTAGATTTGCAAATCCTTAGTACTTGCCACCAATGTACGCCACTAGAAAAGTAAGGAAGCCAGCTAACTTGTAGTATTCCTTCAGCAATGGGACTTGGGGTGAACAAGGGGGAAGCAATACCTTTTTAAGAAAACTTTAGCACTTGGGGCAAAGAAACACTGATTATGTAAGTTTGGACAAGATATAAAAATTGGCTGGAGCGAAATTACTGAAATAAGTAAAACTGGATTGCAGATTAGGGTAACCCTAAGCCAATGAATGGACTACCTTCATAACTCCAATTAAAAGCAGCTGTTCAAACCTTACAACATTCACAGAAGATAAAAATCAGTACCTGCATATTGCAGTCTTTCAATGTTCGCAGAATGTCGTAGAGAAAACCCTTGTGATCAACACAGTAAATCTGAAGCAATGTATGAGCTGGACTCAGAGAATTGTCTATCATTACACTGGCCCTCTTTAGTTTCGTCACATCTGGGCTAAAAGCCTGTGAACGAGTTTCCTTATCTGACAGTTCATTTCTAAACAATTCGTCAGTAATGACTGCAGAAAGAGAAGAGATACCCTGAAGACTGTCATACTCAGGACCAGCCAACTGAAGTGTACAACTAGCACATGATTCGCCTAAAACAGCATGCAATTGCTCACTTGTCTCATCTTGTCTCTCTTTTGTGTGCAAGAGCTCCCTGAAATACATTGCAGTGGACGGTGTATATGGATAATCAGCTCCATCCCAATTAACTGATATAATTAACACAGAAATCATGAGTTTCTTTACTTAATATGATGCTAAACAACCTCCAACCGGGTCCTTATACATTGACCCAACTCCTCCTTCAACATTTTACACCAAGTAAAGACTGGCATAAGGAATAATAATGCTGAAAATTACTATAGTGGACTTCAGGCCCAAGATGTGAGTGGAGAAGTTCTAAGAATTCTGTTCTGGTAGAAATCAAGATGCCACCATCTACAAATTCGGAACTAGAGAGTTTAGCAACTCAGTGCATGATGCACTAGTATTTTTTTAAGAATATAACAAAATCAGATAGTAATTTCCATCACTGTATATATCCAGGTGATACTTAATATCTATTAGTTAAGCAGAAAGTGAAAATTCAGAATATTCATGTGATCCTGCAATCGAAAGTAAAGACCACTTTTCAAAAACAAGCTCCCTCCTTTGCGGAGATACCAGGGCACTGGTATTGTGAAACACTCTTCTACACATCCTACCTAGGAACAAGAAATTTCTAAACTGCATGTTCAGACATTTCATGGAAGCTGCACTATCTTAGATGCATCGTAAAAAAAAAAAAACTATGTCAGATGCAATCAAACTGCATTAAATATGTTCTCATGTAAACATGCAATACAAATCAAACTCTCACAAGTTATCTGTTATGAAGAAGAGATCAAGAACCCGGCCATCCGGTGTTGTAGTCACTTTTACTCTTTGAATCGTAAGTTCGAGCACAGACAGAACTCGAGTGACATCTAAAAAATTTGAAATGCAACAATATCAGAACAACATACAAGTTCATCAATCAATCAAAACTGGAAGAGAGGACATTTTCCATTACCATGTAATAATCCTTTCCTGTCTAGGCTACAAAACCTCAACAAGTATACTGGAGGAGGTTCAGGGTTTGGAGATGGCTGGTTCAAGTAAAATGACACCAAACATGATGGACATATCGATAGAAGGCGGTCTTTCAAATTCAGCCATGTTACACCAGTTGAGCTAGAGTGAGGAACCACCCATAATATTATGTAGCACCATAACCCATCAGTTGAGACATCTAAATCAAAGTAGAAAAGCTTGTCAATGCATGCTTCAAATGATTCTTGTTTCTTTTCTTTGGGAGGGAGATGGGTTTGGTCAAGCATTTTAAGAAATTTCAACCAATTTAGTCTACTGGTACATAATGGAAGCATAATATCAAGCAGAACAAATCAAAACAACCTTGTATATGACTTGACTCTTTACACTTAAGAAATCAAAGCTTTTTACTAAGTACATAATTTGGAAGCAGGAAAATAAATAGTTGAAATTTAAGTGCCGGAACAAAAATTACAATAAGGAAATGGAGTACTTTGTACGCCGGAACTCAAGCATTGCATACTAAACACATGTAGAAATAATAATTGAGCCGAACTAGTGGCATCCGGCTCAGACTCATCAAGAGCTCGACTATTTTTTAAATAAACTGAGACTTATAGCTCTCCAAGTTTCGATGTTTGATAGAGCTCGCGATCAATCCAAAGTTATAGTGAATTAGGTCAGCAAATTAACTTAGTAAATTAAGTCCCAATGCTTAGCTTAGTAAATTAAGTCCCAATAGCATTGCTCAAAGAAACACGAGTACGAATTTGACTTATTTTGAATTTGGCTCGGGCTCAACTCAATTTAAACGAAAGTAATTTTTTAAGCTCGAAAACGAGCAGCTTGACTCAAGTCGCAAAGTCCTAAACACATGAAACAATAGATACACGAAAACATAATTACAGTATAATGAAAGTACAACATAATTTTCAGAAGTGTGGTTCAAAACTACCTCCTTTGGTAATGTAGAGTCCGAATTCAAGAATGGTTCGGCAGATATCGCAGGCAAGTCCGGTCTTATCAGGACAATTAACCGTAACTACGTAAGGCTCACCCGGTATCTTCCCTTTCTGAATCAAAACAGCGTCGTCACTGGGCAAAGCCATGTAATAACAACTCCAACCCCGAGAAAGAACCTCTCACCCGAGCACTGCTGTTAGTACATCTTTGTTTGAACCGTCTCTCGCGATGAACAGGGTGGTTCGCAGGCGGAAATGCAGCGGTGTCTGTTCATTGCTGAGCCGGTGTTTCTACTATGATCTGGAGAGAGAGAGAGAGAGAGAGACAGACAGAGGGGTCGGGGAAGACAATAACCTGTGGGTTGTGGCCAGCTAATTGTGTCTGTCACGTGGTCATAAAGACATCACAAAGACTCGTTGGTTTGGGTTTCGACATGTGGCGATTATGATATATTGTTCCATGAATGTCAAACGCTTTGTCTTCTTGGTTTTTTTTTTGCTCTTTCTTTTTTTTATCATAACAAAGATATTTGAACCCCATTATTTATTTTTTTACATAAATTATACAATAAAACTGTTCATAGTTTAAATTTTATCCTACTTATCTTTTCCCCACTAAAATTGATGATGCTTAAAATAAATTTCAAGTGTTATTTCAGGAGTTCAGTTCAGATCGGAAAGTCAAACATATTAACTGAGGTCAGAAAACAAGGGCTGAATGTCTCTTGAGGTAAGACAATGACTGGATAACCACGAGAGATTCCTAAAGCGTTGGAAAGCTATAATTAAGACACCTAATCTCAACCAACCAAGATTTTCTCTTAAAATTAAGGAGAACCCCACGAAATAAAGGCAAAAATCTCGGCCAAGATCCCACTGAATAGAGAACAGCCCTATAAATACTATATAACGCCCCCAAAGATGAAGGAGGACCCTAGAGGCAAAAAATAATCATTGTACTCTTGTAATCATCATTATTGAAAAGTAATGAGCAAGAGTCTCTATTAAAGAGTGGATTAGTCCAGCTCCCGAGCTGATGAACTACTATACTTCTTCTGTGTTAATCCTCCTAGCCTCTAGAAAAACATTTCTTTCACTATCACATCACTATCACTGCAAAGCATAATTACGATTCATTACTCATACAATTCGGCTTACACCATCAGTTTGACGCCGTCTGTGGAAACGACTGTTCTTGTTACAAATAAAGCTGATTTTTTAGTGACTAATGGTAACAACGCGAAATATGAGCCGAAGTTAGGCCAATCCTCTACGGATGCAAAATCAATAGGAAGCCGCAAATAACAGACAACCCGAAAATACGCACGAAGTCGATCCCCCCATAGGGGGCCTTCCCATGAATCATGAGATGGAGGCCCTTCGTCTTGTCAATGAACGTCTGATAAAACAGAACGAAGAGCTCTTAAAACTCCTACAATGCCCACAGGAGGTGCGACCGACCCAAGGAAGCCAGAATAATCCACCATCAAGGGAGCAACCGTATCTCGACCCCCTCAGAGAAGTTAATGAGGTGGGAGAGAATAACTAGACCTTGGGGCAAAAGCCTCGCCTACCCCCTAAGAATGGTCAAAACGAGGAAGTGCAAAGTCAGCATAAGGAAGGGGAGAGGAACGACTTATTTCCTTATCAACATGAGAGGAGAGAATACCACTAGGAGCAACGTTTCAAAGACATCTAGTAAGAGCTCAGCCAAATAAAGAAGGCAGTGAAGAGCAAGGCCCCAGTCTCTATGGATGTCTTGGTACAGCAAACCAAATTCTCATTCACTGCGAGGGTGCTACATTTCCCTCTCCCACCTAAATTCAGAATGCCGTAGGTGGATGCTTTCGATGGGACAAAAGATCCCGTGGACCACCTCAACACCTACAAAAATCAAATGGAGTTGCATGAATATCAAGACCCAGTGAGATGCAGGGCCTTTGCTATCACCCTGAATGGCTCAGTCTTAGCATGGTTCAACAGACTCCCCCCAGCTTCGATTTCCTCTTTTAAAGAGCTATCAATCTCGTTTGTGTCCCACTTCATCGGAGCTCAGACTTATAGGAAACCGAGCTACCATTTGTTAAATATGAAACAGGGACCTGATGAGAACCTACGGTCTTATATCCAACGGTTCAACTCAGAATCCTTGAAGGAAGATGTCCCAGATAAAAAATTTGCTATCACAACCTTCATAGCAGGTCTGGGAGTTCAGTCAAAAGATTTGATGTTTTCCATCTCAAAGAACCCCCAGGCTAGTATGGCGGAGGTGCTTGCCAAAGTAGAAAAGTACAAAAATGGGGAGGAAGCACTCCTCTTCAAGGTCGGGAGCTTTTCGTCGAGAAAGGAGAAAGGGAAGGAAGAAAAGAAGAGAGAACGAAGTCCCAAAAAGGAAAGAGAGTGAGGCAGGTCTCCAAGAAGAGACAGAAAGCGTTCCTCGAAGAGAAGAGGAAATGTCAGGGATCACCTCGGCCCTCCACAACCAGAGCTACAACCAAGGTATGCACCTCGGCAGCTAACTCCTTTGACTGTTATGGTGTCTCAGATACTGTATGAGGCGCAAAATGAGAGGTTCTTAAGGTGGCCACCCCAGATGAAAGTAGACCCGATAAAAAGGGATCCTACGAAGTATTGTGACTTCTACAAAGACCATGGTTATCACCGATGACTATATCCAATTGAAGAAGGAAATATAATTTCTAATCCAGCGAGGGCAGCTGCGACGCTATGTGGTCAATGATAATCAAAATTGAGCTCTCCCACCTCCACCCACTCAGCATTAAGCACCAGAGCCACACCAGCAATCTATGGGGGAGATCAGAGCGATATATGAAGGATTTGCCAAAGGAGGAGGGTCCAGCTCTGCTAGAAAGGCTCACTTGCAAAAAATCAGAGCCATAAAAGCTCACGAAGTATATACTGTGTCTAAGTCTCCACGCTTAGACACGGCTATCACTTTCTCAGATTCATATCTAGAGGGCTGCCAATATTCCAATGATAACCCTTTGGTGGTAAGAACTATGGTGGCCAACAGGACTGTTTATCGTGTTTTGATTGACAATGGCAGCTCGACAGATATCATTTTTGCTTCTGCTTTCGACAAAATGGATATAGGAAGGGAAAAGCTTGAATCAGGAAGTGCCCACCTATTGGGATTCTCAAGAGAAATGGTGCTGCCCCTGGGGTCAACCCAACTCATCTTGACCTTAGGTGACCCACCCTGTCAGACTACAACAACTGTGAAATTCCTAGTGATTGATGCACTTTCAGCATACAATATGCACCTTGGAAGACCCTCGCTCAATTCTATAAGGGCTATACCCTATGCCTATCACCTCGTAGTGAAGTTTCTAATAGAAAACGGAGTTGGAGTGGTCCGAGGAGACTAGTGTGTAGCACGAGAATGCTACATGACATCCATGAGAAATAAGGAGGTCGAGAGCATCCAATTGGATGAGCTTGACATGAGGGATGAACTCGAGACCAGGCCAACACCATAAGAAGAACTGGAACCCATTCAAATGGATGAAGAGCCAGAGCATCTTGTTTACGTTGGATCCAAGCTGAGTAAGGAAATCAAGGATCTCTTCATCCAATTCCTGAAAAGGAACAAAGAAGTTTTTGCATGGAAACAAGAGGACATTAAAGGGATTGATCCCTCTGTCATCACTCATAAGCTCAACGTGAATCCAACCTGTAAGATCGTTAAGCAGAAGAGGAGGAGTTTCGCCCCGGAGCGTCAAAAAGCCATCAACGAAGAGGTCAACAAGTTCCTTCACGTGAAAGCCATTCGAGAAGTGGATTACCCAATCTAGCTAGCCAATGTAGTCCTAGTCAAGAAGACAAATGGCAAATGATGTTTTTGCATTGACTTTACAAACCTCAACCGTGCTTGCCCGAAAGATAATTTTCCTTTATCCTGGATAGATTTGATTGTAGATGCCACTGCGGGACATGAGCTCCTCAGCTTCATGGATGCCTTCTTTGGGTACAATCAGATCAGGATGGATCCTAGTGACCAAGAGAAGATATCATTCATAACTGAGCAAGGGACATACTACTATCAAGTGATACCTTTCGGGTTAAAAAATACAGGAGCCACTTACCAACGCCTGGTGAATAAGATGTTTCAAAAATAGATTGGAACCTCCATGGAGGTCTATATTAACGACATGCTGGTCAAGTCACTGAGGGTAGAGCTCCACATTGGACACCTAGTAGAATCGTTTTAGGTCCTGAGAGAATACAAGATGAAGCTCAACCAAGCTAAGTGTGCCTTTGGAGTGTTAGTAGAAAAATTTTTGGGCTTCATAGTTAATAGCAGAGTGATAGAAGCTAACCCAAAAAAGATAAAAGTAGTGTTGGATATGCAACCTCTCNAAGCAGAAGTCACCATCAGGACTATAAAGTCCGTCCTGAAGACCAAGCTGAAAAATTTGAAGGGCAAATGGGTAGAACACCTCTCANGTGTTAGTAGAAAAATTTTTGGGCTTCATAGTTAATAGCAGAGTGATAGAAGCTAACCCAAAAAAGATAAAAGTAGTGTTGGATATGCAACCTCTCTCCAACACGAGGGAAATACAGCGTTTAACCGGGAGAATAGCTGCCCTGAGTCGTTTTGTTTTCAGATCAAGCGACAAGTGTCAGCCCTTCTTCCAAGTCTTAAAAGAAAGCCTTTAANTTGCTAAGTTTGGATCTGTTGGAAGAAAAGAGGGAGGTAGCACTGAACAACATAAAAAACTACCAAAGGAAAACAGCTAGGTACTATGNTAAATGGGATGCTCGGTGTGAAGAAGCCTTCAAAGCATTGAAAGAATACTTGAGCTCCCTACCTGTCTTGGTAAGTTCGTTAGAAGGAGAAGTACTTACCCTTTAACTAGCTGTCTCAAAGTTCTCAACCAGCACAGCGCTAGTAAGTGAGAAGGACATAGCTCAGCAACTAGTTTACTACTACAGTCGAGCTTTGAGGGGGGCAGAAGAAAGGTATCCTAAAATGGAAAAACTCATTTTAGCCTTAGTGACAACTGCTAGGAGACTAAGACCCTACTTTCAGGCTTATACTATCGAAGTCCCAACAGATCAACCTATAAAGCAGGTGTTGCACAAGCCAGAATCTTCAAGGAGACTGATTAAATGAGTTGTTGAACTTAGCGAGTTTGACATCAGATACAAGCCAAGAACAACCATTAAGGGGCCGAAATTAGCAGATTTTATTACAGAATTCACAACTGGGATACCTGCAGAGACAGCGCACTTAGTACCTGACCTCCCAACGTGGAAACTTTCAGTAGATGGAGCTACCAATGCTCAGGGCAGTGGAGCTGGTTTGATTTTGACTTCCCCCGATGAG